TTCTATGCGGGGAGGCGTGGCGAAGCGCCGGAGCCGGCCGGCCGGCCTCTGCGCTCCACAGTGGAACGTGTCGGGCGGGAATGGGGCTAGCAGGGCTCTTCCGCTGGACCGAGGACGGGCCTCGTGTGGTGGTTATCGACTCCCGAGGTCCGCTGCCCCGCGGTGAGTGGTGGCTGAAGACGCGGCGCGTTTGTGACCCGTAAGGCCAGGACATTTGGGGGTTATGTCAAGTCCAGGCTTTGGTCATTTCAGCGAAGCGCTGCACATCGGTTGGTGCTTATGGGGCGGGAAGATGGGCCAGAAATGTATGGGAGGACTGCACGACCGTAAGCCAGCAAGGTTTCAAAAGAAGGCTGAAGTGCTCTGCCGTGCTGTTATGTCGCCCTAAGTCCGAGACTCGGGGTTGAGTGAAACGGGCTCTTTCCCAAAAGGAAGGGACTGATGAAGTCCCTGTTACTGATTGTAACGTGTGTGGGTTGTTTTGGGTAGAAAACACCGGGTAGAGGAAAGAATGGCTGCGATGATGCATTTCTTAGGACACCTTTGGATTAATCATGAAAACATCTATTCTCTGAGCAGCTGTAGGCCGCACTTGATACGTAAAACAGCGCTAGTTGCAGCAAATGACAATTAGGTTGTGCTTCCTTTCAGGTAACCTGTGAAAATGGTTCGCTACTCTCTTGACCCAGAAAACCCTACAAAATGTGAGTGATTTTCCGTACCCGGATTTGTTTCCTGTTTTGGAGTGAACGTAATATGTCCAACATCAATCATTTTTTATTCTTTTCATTTTCTAGCATGCAAGTCAAGAGGTTCAAATCTTCGTGTTCACTTTAAGGTATGGGAATCATAGTTACTATCTACAAAAGTTACATGTATTTCAGTCATTTTTACCTAAAAAGGTAGCTGCGGTGATACGTTTCTTAGGACACCTTTGGATTCACCCTGAAAAGTAATAAATTCTGAGCGGCCACCTCTTTAAAAATTGATAACCAGGATCTAAGGAGCACATTGATTCAGGATTTGTGTAGTTGAATAAAACTACCAGAGAACTACTTGAGAAACTAGACGTGTAATTTTACATGAATTAGTGAAGTTACTAAATGAAGATTTAGGGTTAATTTTCCCTAGCTTCAAAGTCTCCTTGGCTGTTAACCACCAATTTTTTTAAATGCTTCCCCCCCAATTTTGGCAATCTTATGATTGCTTTAAAAGTTCCAGTATTTTGTCAGTTAACCAAAAGTTCGTTACTCATATTTAGAACACTCGAGAAACTGCCCAGGCCATCAAGGGTATGCATATTCGAAAAGCCACCAAGTATTTGAAAGATGTCACCTTGAAGAAACAGTGTGTGCCATTCCGGCGTTACAATGGTGGAGTTGGTAGATGTGCCCAGGTGAGAATTTTTAGTTGCTGTTTGAAAAGACAAACTAAAGTGACTGGATGGGACAGTGATGGCTAAGATCTGCCATTATCAAGCTCTTCCTGGTTGCTGTGATGACGATCTTAGGACACCTTTGGATTAACCATGAAATCAACCATGTTCTGAGCAACCTTGATGATGGTTAAGATAAATTAATCTTGGTTCTAATGCTAATTTAAACCAAGGAAAATAATTAAATGCTGCGTTTTCTTCCAGGCCAAACAGTGGGGCTGGACACAGGGTCGGTGGCCCAAAAAGAGTGCTGAATTTTTGCTGCACATGCTTAAAAATGCAGAGAGTAACGCTGAACTTAAGGTACCCAGGCCGTTAACATCCTTTCGTATGTCTTTGTCTTGTCAGTAAGCTCATTTTAAAACTACTTTTTAAAATCTCTAATAGTCCAGAATTTTGTCTAAAGGTATTCATAAGCATAGTCAGGGGTCTCTTGTGGATGTAACCCAGTGATAGCATGCTTGCCCACCGTGTACTCTGGGCATCATTAGTTACCTCTTGCATTTGAAAGTACTCCAGAACCAGCATTATGTTTGTCATCAAGGCTTGGAAACTATCTTATCCCTCACCTCTTCACCCATCATTTAATGACCTTTAGGGATCAACATGTGTTTAATGCACTGTTTGGTAAGAAAGTAGGCACAAATGCTTGGACAAATACTCTGTCCATTGAGGTTTTTAAAAGATGGCTTTTCATGGGGATGGTTTACTTCACAATGATTTTTTTGTCACATTAAGTTGTTACCTAATTATGTTCGCTCTTCCCTCTTGCCAGGGTTTAGATGTAGATTCCCTGGTCATTGAACACATCCAGGTGAACAAAGCACCCAAAATGCGCCGCCGTACTTACAGAGCCCATGGCCGGATCAACCCCTACATGAGCTCTCCCTGCCACATTGAGATGATCCTCACTGAAAAGGAACAGATTGTTCCCAAACCAGAAGAGGAGGTTGCGCAGAAGAAAAAGGTAAATTACTTAGATCTTCTTTGTGTGTAATAGAAAAATGTGTGGTTGCTGTGATGACATATCTTAGGACACCTTTGGAGTAACCATGAAAGAAAACTATTCTGAGCAACCGTTTTACCTAATTTATTTCTCAGGAAATAGTAACTTTGCTCTATACATCAAGTCCATAGAATTATCTGTAGGCCCATATAAATTTCCCTAGCCACTTTGTCTATATGTCTCAAACTTAATTTTAGTAAATGATCACATTGTTCTTTAAGCCAGGAACCTGGGACTGCTTCTATAGTTTCCCTTTACAACTAATAAATGTAACTTCTGTTAATTTTGCCTGTGCTTGCAACCGCCTAAGTCCTTACCAACTGGGCTGCTTGTCCTCTGGTTCTCAGCATAATAGTCCTGTGCGATTTAATGAAGGTTTCTCATAGAAACATAATTGACTTTTTTTTCCCCCCTCCAGATATCCCAGAAGAAACTGAAGAAACAAAAACTTATGGCACGGGAATAAATAAAATAATAAAATAAATGCAAATTAAAGGAATGATGGTTGTCTTTATTAGTAAACCTTTTAGGGCTGGGAGTGGGGCCCAGGTAGCAGAGTGCTTGCTAGCACACTTAAGTGTCTTCAAAACATGGATATGAGTTTGCATGCGATTTCAGTTGAAATTTTTGTTTACCCCATGTCATTATTAAGGCGCCTTAATGCATTCCAGGCTCCCCTGAAAACTCATCCTCTTGCCCTAGTCTCCCAAGAGCTGGGATTATAGGCATTAACTACCACGCCTGGCAGCCTGTGCCATTTGTTTTGATTTCATAAGCTTGCATTGTTACCCAGGCTGGCCTTGAACTCCTGGGCTCATGCCACCTTGCCTCAGCCTCCCAAGTAGCAAGTACTGCCCTAAGTATTTTGGATCTTATTCAAGGGCTTTATTGAAGCTGGGTGCTGGTGGCTCACACCTGTAATCCAACTACTCAGGATCACAGTTCCAAACCAGCCTGGGCAAATAGCTTGAGAGGCCCTATATCTAAAAAACTAATCACAAAGGCTGTGCAGTGGCTCAAGACCCTGAGTTCAAGCCCCAGTCCCAGAAAAAGAATCCACTGCAAATTAGTTAATTGTACTTGTGTGAAGTTTTTTTTTTTTTTCCTTGTTACATAGAACTTGACAGTGGTTAGCTGCCACTGACCTCACCTGTCTCGATTTGCCCGTTTAGGACATTTCATTAAGTGGACTTGCTTATGTGGCCCTTTGTCACTGACTTTAGCATGATTTTAGAGGTGGTGCATGTTACAGTGTGTATTGGTATTAATTTAATAATGTAGGTATACTGTACTTTGATAAAAGTGAGCCTTGGCAAATCCCCTAGGTAACTTACGAGATTTGAGGAACTTTTGGACGTTGTAATAAAGTGCGTAATACAGCCGCACCAGCGTGGAGGTTCTAAATTTGCCCCATTTTTCACCAAGGCACCTGCTCGCATGTAGCATCCTAGTGGGTGTGAAGTGTCCATCGATTATTTGGAACCACTTGAGTTAACCACTGAGTCCCTGATGTTTAAAGTTAACCCTAAATTACGCCGCCTTTAATATTTTGCTGGGGGTGCTCGCTTACATGTATAATCTCAGCCTCAGGTTGGAACTGGGGATTGCAACATAGAACTCCCTCTTGCACTTAAGCCATACCAATGCTCCTGAACACAACCTATTAGGCGCGAGCGGCGCATCCTTTCCTGTGGGTGGCGAGCCCCGATCCTGGGTGCATGAATTGTGCATTCCCGGCAGGGCCTTTGAAAAGCGTTGCTAAACCGGACGCCCAGGAGCAGGACGGCTGCCCTACCCGCAGGCTCCAGCGCAGAGCTCAGCGCCCGAAGCTCTACAAGCCCCGCCCGGCGTCACCGTTGCGTCCTGTGCGACCTCGTGCTGACGCAACACGCCTTTGTGGGCCTTGGGAAGTGCCTATTGGCTGGCGGCAGCTCGTCCCTCCCACCGGAAGTGCGGACAGACCCCCGTCTAAGGAACGTGGCTGTGGCGGTGAGCGTGGGGCTCGGTGGGCCGGCGGGGGTCAGAGGAGGGGTGCGCTCGGTCCTCGGTAGCCCCGCGGCGCTCCCGAGCGGCCCGGCGGGCTGCAGCCCTGCTCTCTCGGTACACTCCGCCCGCCTCCTTTCCTCCGTGGCCGTTTTGTTCTCTCCCTATTGTCGGTGTCCCTTCCCCTCCGTGAACTTCGCCACTGGCCCGGTGTCCCCTCCTGTCTTTTAAGTCGTTTGGGTTCCTTCAAGCGAGGTGGCTTTCCGCCCTGCCTGCCCCATTTCTGGTGGAGCCTCGGCCTTTGTCTCTTCTCTTGTCGTCTTGAACCAAGTAGAGTAGAAGATTTCCTTCAGCCATTCTAATCCGTTTTGCTCGCTTTGTTGGCCTGGAGAGTAACTCAAATGATACCGAGTCTCCCGCCTTCTAGACTTTTTTTTTTCTTTTGCGGTACTGGGGCTTCAACTCAGGGCCTTCATCTTGAGCCACTCCACCAGCCTATTTTTGTGAAGGGTTTTTGTTTTTTTGTTGTTGCCTTGTTTTTTTGAGATAAGGTCTCGCGAACTATTTGCCTGAGCTGGTATCGAACCGCGATCCTCCTAATCTCTGCCTCCTGAGTAGGTAGGATCCCAGGTGTGAGCCACCAGCACCTGGCCTTCTAGACTGTTCTAATCCCCAGTTTGCAGTGTGAACTTGCTATCGAACAATCATTACGAGGATTGAGAGATAAAATGCAGTACCTTCTTTCCGAAGAGAGCTGAAAAGTTAGGTAAAAACCATAATTGCGGCATAAGCGATTAGTAGCACTCGTTGTTGAGCGTTGTATGGACTTACTAAAACCAGCTGCAGAGGTAAAAATGATTATGATGGATTGCCAGTCATCAACTTAACCCTGCTGGCGGTGCATTGCCGGTTGTATTGAAGGGGTCCATTGTTTTTGAAGGCTGGAGAAGGACATACCATTGTGGTTTGGGGAAGAAGAAAAAGCAAGAGATTTGAGATGGGAATTGTGGTCTGAAGAGCTCTACTTACCTCTAAGTGAACTTGGTACGGTCCCAGCTTTCCGATCGTTTTGGCGGCACTGGGGTTTGAGCCCGGAGCCTTCTTACTTGCTAGGCATGCTCTGTGTTACTTGAGCCACTGCCAGCCCTTTTTTGTTTGGGGTGTTTTCGCTGTCTTAGAACCTCAATCGTCCTGAAGATCTCTGCCTCCTGAGTAGCTAGGATTACAAGCGTGAGCCATCGGCGCCCGACCACTTTCGGATCTTTTAATTTTTCTTTTTATAATACGTAGATTCACAGTATCTAAGCCCATACTGCATTTCTGTGAGGTGGTTCCTATCATTGTCTTCGTTTTATATGTGAGGGAATTAAGGTACACCTGGTAAGTAATTCGCCTAAACTAGAAAGTGGGGAAGCAGGTCTCAAGTCCAGGCATGACTGCTTGCTGTGGTACCCATAAGAAGGAGCAAGACATAAGCGGTTCATCTGGGTCTCTTCAGCTCACATTTTAAACATCTCTGGCCAAAAATAGTGATCTTTGGAGAACGCTGTAAAGAATCACTGCTAATTTGACTTATTTTAATCAAAGAATGTGTTCTTCAAATTTCTGGAACAGATTACTTTGGGAAATTCTTAAATTAGTTAAATTTGACCAAGGGATTGTTTCAGAGAATCCACTGAGTGCTTTGTAAAATAGCTGGTTATTCCTTGATGTCAGTTTTCATTTTTAATTGATTATAACTGTTGCTTTTTGATTAATTTCAAAACCAAATTCTTATTATCTATAGACCCATTCACCTGTATTAGGAATAATTTTAAATTGCCTAGTGTAGTCATGGTGCTAACTCATTTGCTAGTCATTATTAGTTCATTTATGTTTGGACAGTTTAACATCCTGAGTTAGGCCTGTATGCTGTCCTGAAGCTTCTTACTTTTTAAGGTCCTCCATCCTAGTCTTTTTTTTTTTTTTTTTTTTTTTTTTGTGGTACTGGGGCTTGAACTCAGGGCCTTCTTGAGCCACTCCACCAGCCCTTTTTTGTGAAGGGTTTTTTTGAGATAGGGTGTCGCAATCTATTTGCCCGGGGTTGGCTTGCAACCACTGTCCTCCTGATCTCTGCCTCTTCAGTAGCTAGGATTATAGGCATGAGCCACTGGAGCCCAGCCCATCCTAGTTTTAAGGGATTACAAATTCTTACAATTTAAGAGATCTTTTGGTTTAATAGTGTATTATGAAACTAGTATTGGCCTTTTCTTCCCCTCAAGAATTTGTTGATTTTTTAGAAATTCCACTGTGATTTATAATTATCAAAGAAATTAGAAGTACTCACTTTTAGAAATATACAATTTACTATATGGTAATACTGAATAGAATTTTATTAGTTGAAACACCTTAAGATGGGGCTGGGAGAATAGCTCAGTGGTGCAGTGCTTGCCTATCATGCACAAGACCCTGGGTTCAACTGCCAGCACTGGGGCAGGAGGGAAAGAGGGAGGAAAGAAAAACAAATACCAAGGGAGAATTGTCTGAAAAAGCCTAGAGGTCTTGCAAAGTGGTATCTTCATTTCATTTGCTTTTAGCAACTTGTTAGGTTTAATTAATTGATACTGTCAGTCTCTGAAGATTGAGCCTTGGGAGTTAATTCACTCTAAGTACACCCCACACTTGAGTATAAGGCACAGTGTTTTTGTGCTTTCATTTCTTTGTCTATCAGTGAAGATACCAAGGACACCAGGCTCCCCATTTTTTGTATTGAGAATTAAGTGAGTTAGAATTTGTAAACTGTCTAGCACCTATGGAATGTTGGTGTCTTTATCATCAAATTTATGAGGGGGGAGAAGTGATTGGAAGGGTTTAGATGCTAGCATCTCACTATTCACATCTACCACCTACCCCTTGACTCTGCAGATGCAGTATTTTTGTTTATTAAACCCTGGCTTTGCTTTTAGCAATAATGTGTGATAGAAGTAGTCATTTTTAAATATCTTAGTCTTAGGTAAAGTCCTTCAGTCACTAATCTGTGGTAAGGTAATTTTTTTTTCTCATGTCAACAGTTTAGGAGCTCAAGCCTGGGACAATGGTGTGCATTCCATGCATCGTCATTCCAGTTCTGCTCTGGATCTTCAAAAAATTTCTGGAGCCATACATATACCCTCTGATATCCCCTTTGGTTGATCGTATATGGACTAGAAAACCTATTCAAGAATCCAACAATACAAATAAAAGCAAAGTTGACTGCAAGGTAAGAACGTCAACTGCCCTGAATTAGGACACATGAAGGGGTGGTACTCAAGTAACAGTTGGCTTTCGGTAGGACAAGTTTTTGGAACCAGAGCACCAATAATTCGTCTCGATTTAAGTAATTAACATTTCACTTAACTAAGGTTTTTGATTTTCCATCTTTTTTTTTTTTTTTTTTTTGGTGGTACTGGGGTTTGGGCTCAGGGCCTTTTGCTTGGTTGGCAGGCGCTCTACCTCTTGAGCCACTCCACCAGCCTTTAAACTAAGGTTTTAAATGAGGTCTCTTGTGATGTATCTGTCCCTTGCCTTATGGCCAAAACAAATGGAAGATATGTGTGTGCATGTGCGGCTAGGGATTGAACCCAGGGCCTTATGTACTCAAGGCAAGTGCTCTCCCATATCCCCAGCCCCAAGTTAAAGATTTTTTTTTTTCCTTTACTCATCTTTTTTATTCTCAAGTTAAAGATTTTTTGAAAATGAATATTTTATAATTGATGTTGCTGCATTCAATTTGACTGTGTTCAGCTATGCTCACTTAGCCTTCCTGCACATTTCTAGAAGCAAAATTGTTTCTTTCTGAAGTTTGTTGTCTGATTTTTAAAGAGAGTATGTCATTTAATGATTATCTTTTTACTGTAATAATTTAAAAAAATTTTTTTCATTTTAGGGTGCAGACACAAATGGATTACCAAGAAAAGGACCAACAGAAATCTCTGATAAAAAGAAAGACTAATGTGATTTTCCCCAAAGGATCTCAGTTGTTTTAAAAATGGACCTGACAATATGAAGTACCTTCTTTGTAGTTGTCTCTGACCTTTTTCTCTGAAACCAGGATTCTGGATAGAGTTTAGCTATTTACCTGATACTAATCAGGAAAACATATAGTATTTATATTTAAAATGCACTTAGTTATATTTAATGACCTCATTCCTGAGTCCCTTTTCCATTAAAGTAGCTCTCATTTATGTTATTGCCATTTTAATAATATGAATGAATAGAAGGTTTGTGCCAGTAGAAGGAAATTCTTGGGCCTCAAACATTTAATCACGTGAATTTGCTGGTTGCTCTTGACTGTGGGCTCTTATAATTTGAGTGGAGTAAATTTTGCTGTGAAATAGTACAGTTGATTATGATGTGAAAACATAAAGATACAATTATTGTTGAACACAAAGAAGTTTATCCACAAGAGTAGTCACTGCTATTGCTCTGCAGAAGATGAAAAAGACAAAGTGGAAAACCATCTTTTACATAAATGTCTAATGTATAAATTCTGTTGCCTTCCTTCTGTTCTTTCAAATGCATTAAACATTCAGTTTAGCTTGTGGTTCGATATTCTTTTAAAGTTCTGAGATATGTTAAAGAGAAAATGTTCACTGGGTCACAAAACAGAATTTTCTCTAGCAGTGAGCTCGCACCTGGACAGGGTATGACAGCAGTTAGCTATTGCTGTGTAACAAGGCACGCCAAAGTGAGTACTCAGGAGTTTTTGCTTTTCCTTTGCTTTTGTGTTGAGCTGACTTGCTTCTGTGAAAAAGAAAAAGCTGTAATTTATCCCCAGTATTTCATAAGACATTTTGACACCAAAACAGTAAAAAGAACATAAGGATAAAGGATAACAATAGCCCATTCAAGTTTATAGAAAAAGTACCTCATTTTTATGAAACATTCAGTATTTTGCCTATTTTCCTTATTTTTATGGTGGATTGGCAAAAGTTTTTATCTGCTATCTCTGGGCTGAGTTGATGCAATCTGAGTGGTAGCTGTTGTCCTACTCCACAGAAATGAGCCCTTGTCCCGGGGTACAAATCCGACCATCTCTTGATCTGTACTTCAGGGCTGTCTTCCTACCAAAGCCACCATTTATTTAACTCATGGTGACTGGTACTGTGCAAGGGTATTTCACACACAGGATAGTCAAGAGAACAGTGTCATAGCGTTCGAATATGTTAGGCGAAAGGTCGGGCTTTCAAGGTCATACTCAAGGTACCTAATGAGGCCTCATAACCTGTAATACTGTAATTGTTAGGAATGCCTCATTGGGAATAATTGGGCAGACATTTGAAGCATGAGGTTGAACTATGTATTTCTGACCTTGTCTTGAAGTTCTGATTTTGTCCATTTTGCAGCATGACTTTTGAACTTGTGTACTTCAATGACATTTTTGCCTTAGTACATTTTGACTGTATTTCCTGTCTGTTGGTCAAACTCATTTTCTCAGGAAATGACCCAAAGCTGCCTCAAGGACTGTTGGCCTTTGTCACATTTCTTTATCATTACTGAGTTGCCCTCCTAGGAAACATGTGTGAGTCAGCAGTTTTTCAAAATGACCATCCACTGGCATGTTGGCTTTTTAGACAGACTGACTAGATTGGAAAGAACTTGTAACCACTGATCTTAAGTGTCCTAAAGCCCATAAAGCTAAATGTCCTGGGTTTGCTCTCAGCAAAGAGGAAGGGAAAGTGTGTTTTCTCCCCAGGTAGCTACTGGCTTGTCCCATTCTCAAAGCTGAATTTATTGTCTTGGTGATAACTTCTTAAGACAGCAAGAAACAAGAAGGGAAGGCATTTGGTTAGGGAGTTGGATAAGAGTAAGTTTAAATCGAAGGTGTCAAATTTTAGAGGGCCATTCAATTTGCACTGGAGTTGGGTACAGGATCTGGCAGGGTGCTGCAGACACGGTACAGACCTGGCCCAACTCGTGCCACATAGTGCCTTGGCAGGTGCGGCTTCAACAGGCAGAACGACGCCAGGAGTGCATGGATCTCTATACCCAGCAATTGCATCATTGGTGTCAAGGACCATGTGTCCATCCAGATGAATGTGGACAAGGTTGACAAGGTCACAGGCAGGTTTAATAGTCTATAGGACCTACATAGGGGCTATGCCCAGGATGGGTGAGTCAGATGACTGTTCTCCCATTGGCCAAGGCTTATGGCATCATCTGGAGAAAATTGTGAGTGTGGAATATTTGTCATAAATAGAAGCCAAAAAAAAAAAAAAAACAAATTTCAGGTTTTTGGTGGTTGAGATCGAGAAGGTAGCAACTATAGATGAACTGAAGAGCCAGTATGTGGTGCAGTATTCACAAAATACACTAAACACTCCAAATGTTGAGCTGGCCTACACCTTAGGATACATCTAACCTTATCCTGACATTTCAGTAAAGGCAAAAGAGGAGTCTTGCATGGTTACTGTGTACAGTTGTACAAAGTGTGCACTGCCCAATTTGAGAAAGCACCATTGGGGCTGGTGGAGGGCTCAAGTCGTAGAGGGCCTGCCTAGTAAGTGCGAGGCCCTGAGTTCAAACCCGAGTACCACCCACTCAAAGACAAAAGGCACCATTATCACAACAACATAAATGGTTCCCCGAGGTCTACACTTTGTCGTATTGGTTTTCTATTGCTGCATAACAAAATAACACCAATTTAGGGGCTTAAAATGACACAGGTTTATTATCTCCCAGTTTGTGTGAGATGTCCCAGGATGGTGTAGCTGGAATCTGCTTAGGTTTAACTGGGCTGAGATCAGGATGCTGGCAGTTTTCATCTGTGCCCAGGCTCCTCTTCCAAGCTCACTGTTTTAGAAGAATGTTTCCTTATGGACTGCAGTCCATGGCTTCCTTCTAGTCAGCAGGGACCCTTCTCAGCTGCTGGCAGTTCCTTGTAGGGGGCCCTACTCTGTACACTGATGTCCCCTTTCTTCCTGCCCAGGTGGAGCATTTCTCTCTGCCTTCTAATCCTCTGGGACTAGCGAGAAAATCCTTTGCTTTTAGTGATTAAATCAGGTCTGCCCAGGTAGTCTCCCTATTTTAAGGTAGCTCAACTAATTTGGGATTTTTTTTTTTTGGTGGCACTGTGGTTTGAACTCAGGGACTTACACTTGCTAGGCAGGCACTTTACAACTTGAGTCACTCCACCAGCCCCTTTTGTGTGAGTGTGTGTTGGTATTTTTGAGATCTGTTTCAGATCTGTTTGCCTAGACTGGCTACAAACTGTGATCCTCCTGATTTCTGCCTCCTGAGTAGCTAGGATTATATGCATGAGCTATGGGTGCCAAATTTCTTTACATGCACCTAGCTTAGTATTTGATTGGTGTTTGGGAGATAATGCATGAATACCAGAGGCCGAGAATCTAGAACCCATCTTAGAAGTCTGCGTACCACACGACCTTCTTCCTTTCTAATGATTCTAGTCCTTCACCTACTTGAGGTGTTGGGAAAAACAAACCCCAAAGTCAAACTCTGACTTTCTCCTGTTATGCACTCACACCACAGATCACTTCCGACACCAGATGTGTGGTGGTGGTCCCCAAACACAAACAAGGAATTCAGCAGTGCACACCAGGTAGGAGTCTTCTAACTCATTCTCCAAGGAGATAGTGTCAGATTCCACAGGTTGAAGGCTCAGTCCCCAAGACTGTTCTCTCCCCTTAAATGCCACTCAGCAGGCCCACGTTGTTTTACCTGTGCTTCTGAAAAACCGGCTATGAATGGGATTCCCACCACCTCCATATCAGATTTCATTAGTTTGTCCGAGCAGCTTACACAACTCAGAACCATGTTTGATGGTTTATTGTAAAGGGCACAAAAGGGTATAAAAGACACAGATAAGGCATGGAGAGTCCATAGCTCAGTATCCAGAACCTTTCCAGTCCCGGCCCTTTTGGGTTTTATAGAGACTTTGTTGCATAGGCATGCTTGAAGCATGAATACCTGTGTCAAAATATGATCAAACAAAAAGGGTAGGATTAATGCTGACAGGCTAGGTGGGCATGGGAAGGGAGGACACATCAGGCCTGCCAGATTCTTTTTGCCATCTTAGGTGGATGCAGCATTCCTCCCTCCAGGGCATCAGGCAGGACCCCTCTGGAATGAGGAGGGTCTCCATGACCCTCGTCAACAGGTAGATCAAGAATTCTTTTAGGGCCAGCTTCAAGACAGAAAGTAAGGGAAATTAGAGTCTCTGAGTTTTGTTTTGAGACAGGGTCTCCTTATGTAGCCCAGGCTGGCTTCAAACTCTGATCTTTCAGTCTCAGCCCCCCAATTGCAGGGATTCCAGCTGTGTGCCAGCATACCCCAGACCAAAGATTGCAGTTTCTATGACCTGTCTTGAGGAAGAGAAATTCTAGTTTTTAGGGCCTGCTTTGGGGAGGGAGTTATGAGTGAAGAACCACAAACAACCATTAATGAAAATACACACATACACATATGTCATATCATGCACGCCTGGCAACCCACTTGTGTATCTGAATCCCATGGTCTCCACCTACTGGTGTCCTATGCTTCACTGATTTTAAACTCTGGGGAGTTTATTATCTTGAACTCTAAAGAGTCACTCAACTTCACCATTTCTTACCCCAAACTGGATAAGTCAAAATTATTTCAGATAGAGGAAGCATGAGGGAGAGACAGTTAAAGAAATAGAATACTTCACAGAAGAGGGAAGGGAACAGACCCATAACTATGAAAACGCATGTTTCATCATCAGGAAAATGCAAATTAGAACTGATTAGATGCCACCAGAATAGCTAGAATTGCAGATCCCTTGTGAGGAGGATGAAGGGCAGGTTGTACGTGCTGCTGGGAGCACAAATGGGGTAACAGGCAAAGCTAAGCATGTACATGTGCTAATCATTCCCAGACAAGGGCTGGGGTGGCTCAGGTGATAGAGGGTCCACCTAGCAAGCACAAGGTCCTGAGTTCAAATCTCACAGTACCAAAAAAAAGAATAGATTCCAGAGAAAACAGTGTGCCTGTACAGCAGAAGACATGCACAAGAATGTTAGTACTGCAGGTGTGGCTCAGTGGTAGAGCACTTACCTAGTGTGTGCAAGATTCCTTGCTCCATCCCCAGCACTGCAAAAAGAAAAAAAGGAATATTCTTAAAAACATTAATTGCGCAGTGGCCCAAAAAAGCAAGCCCCCCACAAAAAAGTCCATGAAGTAAGAAGGAGAATTAAATTGGTGTAAAAGAATTTGTTATAATGCTGTGAGTTTCAAAAAATTCCATTTGTAAATTATAGAATCGTATCATTTTGGGATAACCAAATGATGGGGCAAACTTGCTTAGCTCACCTAATCCAGGGATCTAAGAGCCAAACAGCAATCACTTTGTGCCCAAATGAATGAACTATGAATATGCTGAAATACTAGGTAGCAGAGAAAAGAGAATGCATTAAAAACTTATCAGTGTATGAATAATGACTACTTCGGGGGGTGCGGGAAGGAGAACGTAAGCTTTTTAGCGTGTTAGAAATGTTCTATGTCTTGCTGTGAGTGGTAGTTATGGTACATACACATGGAAAGTTTAGATGTACCCTCCACA